TTAACTACAAGCATGCCCCGAAATTGCGGCTGAGAACTGGCGGCTCGACTGGTAAACTCGGTCGCGCCCATGCTCACAAGCTCGATGCAGGCGATGGGTATTACTTTGATTTGACCGCAAAGGATCACAAGTATGATGTCCATCTGCCAGTCAAACATCGTTACAGGTCACCTATCGTCTTCGAGTTCCACATTGCTAACCACCGGAAACCCGACGCTTATGCTATTATATGGCTCCAGCACTTCATCGACAACGAAGATACAGACATCAACATACCCATCTGGACAACAGCAAATCCTTCTCGTATTATACAGAATTATATTACTGAAGAAAACTGTCATAACGAACCCGGTCTAGATGATCTTAAGGAGGTCGGCCGGCTCCAGTTCCGTGCGCGTTTCAAAGCTGGAACAGATGAATCGCATGAAGCGTTCATCGTGGATAACGATACCCGCGAAACATACGAGACTTGGGAAGCCTGTCTATCGGAAGGCGTACGCCAACGCAAAGTCGACAAAGAGCTTCCAGAGCGGACTCAGCAGCTGCACGAGCAGTCGCTCAACGAAGGACGCGACATCCTCAAGTCGGCCGAACAGGATGAGAAGAACAAGTGGATGGCTAAAGACGGCGAAGATTGGTCGGGCGCCTTTGGCCATGACCCGAAAGCGTACATGGATAGTAAGGGCAGGAAGAAGAGAGAGCCAGGCGCGGACAAGCCGCTGCACGACCCTTTCCATCCATCCAGCGACGAAGACAACGAGGACGACGACAACTCGGATTCGTCGTCGGATCTCGGCATCCAGGACGCAAGCACCCTGAACAACTCGCAAAACATGAACGGCAACGGCTCGCCCGGCCATGCTCGTGCCTCACAGTCGACGGCTCGTACCGACACCACCATGGACACTGTCGATTCCAACTCGACCATGAACGGCAACCAGAACAAGAAGGCCGAGGAGCGCAAGCATCGCGGTCTTATGCAGTGGCGGCCGGCAAGGAATGCGCGCTTCGCCAAGGATCAGGGGAAGATCGGCTTTAGCAAACTTAAGAAGAAGCTCACGGGCGGTTTGGAGGGACGGCAACCGGGGGTTGAGACTGGTACGTTGCTTCTTCTTCTTGCTAGGAATGCAGCGCATGCTAACTGTGTGCAGAAACTGGAGGTTGAGGTACTCTCTAATCGGCGAGGGAGGTTGCACGTTGCTCGTTTTGGGAAGATGTGGTGCGAAGGTGAAGGCGGAGAGGTGAAGCGTTCGGTGGGTCTTTGGCAATACCTAAAAACCCCTTATGACACAAATTCTGCACGTGAAATGAAATGCATCTGTTTTCTTCTTCTTCCTCTTTCCTATTCTATTTCTTCTTCTCTCTATATAATTAGGGACTATGAATAGTCACGGCCCGCAAACTCGAGCTATTGAAGAGTGGGGGTGCCTTGCCTAGCTTCTGCCTGCCTAGACAGTCCAACAAATACTCGACCTTTGTTTGCTAGTCTTGCCAATAGAGAAAGAAATGCCACTCAATGTGTGTGTGTGTGTGTGTGTAACTCAGTTCACAATCGTTCGATCTCTCGGGCCAAACTGGAAGCTAGCTTGCTTGGGTCACCTGTTCTGTTCAGTTCAGGGCAGACGGAGTGAAACTGATCAAGACGAAAGACCGGCCGACTCTCATTCATGTTCCAAAGAATGGAACCGTTAACATTGATGTCACGGACGGCAAAGCCTCAGACATGGACAGAGTGGTAATTTACGTGGATTATAGGAAAGTTTTGTGGACAAAACGAGCCCTTGAAGCAAGCAAGCAATCACGAGCAAGATGAGAGAGAGCGTGTGTGAATTGAATGCATTACAAAGTCATATCGTCGTAGCATACCAACATCTTAGCTAAGGCATCGCTCACACATTAAACCACAGATCCTGTTCTGTGCCTACCGCAATAGAACGATTTCCTTGTGATCGTAGTTTGGCAGCAAGGGAACCAGCCGGCACCGTAAAATCGGTATGGCGGTATACAACGGCAGCCCACAGCCCCATGAACTGCAACATCCAGATGCGTCGGTCCGGGGAACTAGCTTTGGCTGCAGTATGATTCCTGCAAACCGTATGGACGGTTCGCTCTGGTTGTGCAGTCTCGAGGGTACCTGGGAAATGCTGGGAGGTTGGAAAGCCTATGAATTGTGCGGAGATATCGGTCTCACTTAAGCCTCGTCTTCATCGGCATATGATTCTCTGTCATCGAAGACTAGAAATTCCACGGCCCCGTCTCCCATAATCTTCTGCCATACCTCCTTGACGTCGCGGATGATGGAGTCATCGAAAGCGAGATCCAATGAGGCTGGTGCAAACTGAAGATCGTACGGAGTGGTGCCTCTACTTTGCTCGGCAGGGCCAGACTGTTGCTGATATTGGATGGACCACAGTATCGTCGGTGCTGGTGACACTTCCACAGTAGACAAGAGCGTTTCGGTAGCTTGCTTCAGTAGCTCGTAACCTTCCTCTCCACTGAGTGAAGTAGACGCATATAAGAGACCTAAACAGCTAGTCAGTTTCGTTTCGATGTAAGAACGTGAAGTGCGAAGCGAAACTTGGAGCCAAGATCAGTTTGTCAGAGGTTGTTATCGTCAATATTGTTCAGACAATGTAGATAAGTATTCAAGATGTTTGGTTCATCATAAAGGCATGCGTGTAACGAGACGGAGTATTGAACTTACTTTGACCAGCTGGGCATTCGCCCGTGTCACCATTGTGGATGAGTATGTGAACAGGAGGCAGCTCAGGACCTTCGGGCTCACGATCGAATTTCAAAGACCCTGATGGGAAGACAATCACTGCTGCTGCAGGTGAGGGTGCCTCTTCCGTGATTGGCGGGAATAGAGGTGTCAATGGTGAGGAGGCGACCGTGATGAACCTAGAATGTGCATCATCTGGACTCGGCCTCGCCGACTGTTCGCCGACCACCCACTGCGTGGTGACAAGTTCACCGTCTTTCAGATGGATCTTGACTCCATCAGCAGAGGTGGTGTTTGGTTCTTCGTTGGCGGTCGAGAGTCCTTTCCCAAGAATATATACACCGCCCCCGACAGCACAAGCACGGCAAGCGACCTGAGCAATCTCAGACATTCCGCCCCACTTGGGTATGACAGAGCCGAACCCAGCGCCAAAAACACCGATAGATCGCAGATGTCGTGCTATCCTTGGTAGCGCGTACTCTGTAGTGGTCTGCCCTGAGCTAGCTGCAGACAGGGTGAGTGCGAGCAACGGGGCATGGAGCGTCGTCGGAACTTTGAACTGTTCGGAAAGGAATGTTGGAAATGGCTGGCTTCGGTGCTCTTCCCACACCTCGGGCTGCTCTTCGTACTCGGCGATGAAGCGCAGAAACTTCATCAAGGCCCGCTTTGCTTTGAAGTCGAGTACTTGGTCCTGGAAGACATCCTCTCGCCCATTTGGCACTTTGAGAAGCTTCCCATGTGGTGGTCTTGCTTCATCGACGCTACTGGTAGTTGTGTCTGTCTCGGGCGAATAGACCCACCAACTTCCCACAGCCAAGAACTCGAGTTGTCGGTAAACCTTCGACGAGACGAGGTACTGTAGGAGTGAGGAGCGAGCGTAGACTAGTTGCGGAGCTAGAGCCAAGCTATAGGCCCTAGAGAACGACAACGATGGGGCTGATAGGTCTGAACCGGTGGGTTCCGGCTTGTGAATGGATATGTTGGAGAAGGGCTGATCTTCAACGCGTCAGCAGTTACCATCGACAAAAGGGAAGCAGGAACGTACCCTTGTTTAAATGACCAGCCCACTCTTCAGCTTCTTGTAGGCTAAAGGCAGCTTCGGCGCCTCCGTAGTACTCGTTCTGATCGATGTGAAGGATTTTCTTGCCGGAGCGGGACAAAGCTCTTCAGGTGCTGCGCAGTCAGATGGGGCATGCGAAAGCGTGAGAGCAGACCAGTACTTACAAAGCAAGCAGAGACTGCCGCAAGCCAGTGCCTACGATGAGCACATCCCAGGTGGTGTTGTCGAGAGTTTCCATGGCGGTGTGTGGGCGAGAAGTTCCAAGTTTGCGCTGAAGAACTTGACTGGACTAGCGTTGTGGGATGATGACTAAGCGCCTGCGCGTCCCACAAAACTTCCCGTCGGCTGGGCGCAGAAACTTTTCTTCAACACCGCGCACGCTGAGGGTTTGTCTTTACCATAAGCATTCCCGCAAGGCACCGAGTCTTCACTGATTAGGGATGTGCGCGTGAGAATAATCTTCGTCCTGTATCTACTGCTCTGGATTTCTATCTGAAAGGGTGGCTCGAATGTGGCGATACATTTCATTGTGGTGAGATTGAGGCCTGACACAGAGCCTGATAGACCATCACGCCTTGTCACCTACTACGGCTCTATTCTAGGAGTTACTGAACATCTGAGATACGAAAGAGCCTTTTAAAAGCAAAGGAACTTCTTAGAAGAGGACTGTGTGGAGTCTGTCTTCGTACAGGCAGCGAATTCTTCCTCGGGATGTGACAGCCATGTACTTGGGTAGACCAAGTGCGCCGTAAGCTTGATTGAGTGCATGTGTTCGCTCCAGTAGAGGAGTACCTTTGGGGCTGCGACAGAAATCGTTGCTGGTTGTGCCTGATCTGTACGCTTCTCCACGCGCAGTCCTCTTGACAGTGATACAGTTCCTACCTAGATTACAGATAGTACTGCGCTTTTGCAAAGCTCTACTGTATCTAGTGCATTAGCCAGTGCGTTTGCAGAGCTGGGTGAGGGACGAGGCTGTAGTTAAGATTAGTAACCCCACACGGCGGGGTGCGTGATATGCAAATGTAACCAAACTGACTGTGTTGTAACCTAACTGGATATTGACTGAACCCCACCTGCGGGTCCCACAATCGCTTGCTGAAGCCTTGACCCACGATAATATTTAGCGCGGTGCAGGACTTTTCCATAGGTTATATAATCATTAAACAGGGAAATCTCCATCATTCAATTAACAGCCATCTCAACACCTAGTGTTGAACGTCCTCGATGGTCTAGTGGTCATGATTTCCGCTTGTCATCCGCAAGATAACAAGCGCGGGAGACCTGGGTTCGATTCCCAGTCGGGGAGCTTTCTTTTTTGCACTTTTAATCTACTTTGAGTTGATAGATAAAGGCTGCAAAGCTGTTGATTCTTTTTTTTGAATAGGTGTGCAAGCAATGCACTCACTATATGCTAGACTACACTGACGTCGATAACAAGCTAATGTGGAGTCGCTCACATACAACACTATCTATATCTCGCAGCTTGATAAAACCTGCTCATAAATCTTTCAATGCTCCTTCTCCACCGAAGCTAGCCCGCCGTCAACTACAATCTCTTTCCCCGTCGTGAATGTAGCCTCAAACGCCAAATAAACCACCGCCCTAGCCACCTCCTCCGCCGCCCCGACCCTACCCATCGGCGTCTGCTGCGCCCCAAACTTCTCAAACTCCTCTATCTCTTCCCTCCCGGCATCCGCAACACCCATCGTAGGCGTCTTGATAAAGCCAGGACTCACCGCACTGACCCTTACATTCCTGTCTGCAAGCTCAGCAGCCAGTGTCTGTGCCAGCGAGTGCACAGCCGCCTTGCTAGCAGAGTAGATGGCCATGCCCGGAATGCCGCGGCGGTTGGCGATGGATGTTGTGAAGACGATGGCGCCCCCGGGTTTGACGAGGGGCGCGAGGGTTTGCGCGGCGAAGAAGGTGCCGAACACGTTGGTAGAGAAGGTGCGGTGGAAGGAAGATTCTGTGACGGCTGTGAAGGGTTCGAGGCGCGCGTAGCCGGCGTTGAGGAATAGGAGGTCGAGTTGGGCGTCAGATCCGAATCGTTGCTTGATCTTCTCGGAGAGATCGTTGATGGCCTCGAGGGAGGTGATGTCGCACCTGTGAACGGTAGCTGTGTCGCGGAGCTGGTGGCTGGCGGATTGGAGGTTTTCTGGGTTGCGGCCGGTGATGATGACTTGGGATCCCTTGGAGATGAGGAGTTGAGCGGTCGCGAGGCCGATACCGTGGGTGCCACCGACGATGACGGCCTTGCTGTCCTTGATGTCTGACATATATGGGCTACTAGAATGTCGAGATCTTTGGAATGGACGGTTGACCTCTTGGGGAGTAGTGTTTGTTGATGCGTCTGTTTGTCTCTCAATATCTACTTCTTCCATTGTCGATTTATATCGGTCGCCGCGACTCTTCTTCTTACTATGGCGGAACGACTTGAATCTCCGCAACCTGACCCTTCTCCAACGCCTTTGTAAGCACCACCATCCATTGGCGTCGCATTCCTCGCGATGGTCTTGGAATACTCGGCATTCGAAGCCACCGCCCTAGTCAATCCGTTGCTTAAGCCTGTGCTAGCCAGTCCTCTTGACGGTATAGATAATTGCAGCAAGACATAACAAATTCCTCTCTAACCGCACCAAGCCAAACTGTATCTACCACGCTGGGGAACGTCCTGTCAGAGTGAATAGAGGCATAAGGAGTGATAAGGCAGACTGTTCACCGACTGCGACCGTAGTGACCACGAGCACTTGTGGCGAATCAGCGGGATTCGACAGACATGTAAGAACACGAGCCTATTTGTCAGCGATTGCTGTGTTGATTACTAGCACACCATGAACACTGTCCTCACATCCATAGGTGAACTGCCAATAAACTAATCAAGAAATTGGTCAGCAACGTGGTCACTGAAGTCCGAAAGAATTAGTCACGTCGAGACCGGGCGCGTCAGGACGATTCGCAGCCTTGGTACCTAGAATGAACAATCAAGACGTCAAGACATGAAAATCCAAGCATGTCTTATCGACCGTTCATTTTTCTAGATGCTAACAACTCGTAGTCATGAGAAGATTCCCGAGGGAGGAGGCATTCCATACGCATAAACCATAAAGTGTACCCACCGAGGTGCGGTACTTTTAGTCACAAAGTGTGCCCACCAGATTTTGGCCATCGAAGCCAGAATCATACCCACTCAAGTGGGGATATTATAGCTTGGAGAGGACTGCCTCGGCACCAGAGACCTACAGTGAGTTAGCAATGTGTTCGAGTATCAACTAAGGGTTTGAGCCTTACCGTCACCTCTCCCGGGCTCTTCTCGTTCTCAGCATAGGTGACCTTGCCGTTATCGAATACCATAGCCCAACGTCCGCTGCATATATATTAGCAACGAAGCCATTCCGCATTCAGAACTTAGGATAGCATACTTGCGGTCTCCCATGCCGGCGGCCCAGCCATAGTCCTTGGAGAAGAAGGTCTTGGTGTCGCTGAGGAAGAGCTGGGTCGATGTTAGTTGCTATACATCCCCCTACTATTTGTATGCTTACAATATCATCGCCCTTCACGCCATTGACCTTGCCCCACGCGTTCATCACCCAAGAGTCGTTGGAGGCAATGACAGCCACAACGTCGACGCCCTTGCTCTTGAACTCGCTGATCTTCTGGATGTACGGGGGGAGATGGTGAGCTTGGCAGCCGGGAGTGAAGGCACCTAGACGGGAAGATCCATGTTAGCTTTGCATAGGGCTCCGGCGGGTATGTGACGAACCAGGAACGCTGAAGAGAACGACCTTCTTGCCCTTCCACTCCTTGCTCGCATCGTATTCTTGGGGACGTCCACAGGCAGTTGGGTCGGAGTCGGTGATCGGAGCCCATCTGATAGATGTATCAGCGTTATCCCAGACCTATAATTACCAGACGTATCGCTGTTGTACAGTACGCATTGCCTGTGAAGCGCAGGTCATGTAACACTTACTCAAACTTAACCCCCTCCGGAAAAGAATCGCCGACTTGAAGAGGTGCCATTCTGGTTGTTGTGATTGTGATTGTGACTGTAGATGGTAATGAATTGGCTGGCAGCAATAAAGGTTGTTGAAGCGGGAGGGTGCAGGTGGGGTGGCGCTTATGAGGGGTAAGTAGCTGTAGCTCTATTCCAAATCTCCGATCCTTTCCAACGGGCACTAATGACGCAATGGACTAGCATCGAATTATTCTCACCCTTCTAGGCTCTAGAAGTGAGATAAGCTAGCCAGCGCAGTACCAGATGCGCATTGACCGGTCTACAATGGGTGTTCATCGCCGATTCCAACCTCAAGTAACTACAATGATTGCCTTCAATTCTACAATACTATTTAGTATGCTATAACGTTACACCATATGATTCTGTGAAGGTAAAGGTGAGCTCAACAAACTTTGCTGGAATATATTAGAACGTCGAGAGAATCGTGTAGTTGGTGTTAAATTAGCCTTTAAGTAAGACCGCTAGTAGTAGCTGTCCAAGGCCTTGATTTGTCACATGCGTGTCCATAGCCAATTTGCAGTCATGTTGTAGTATTATTGTGCGTGACTCAAGTTTCTGTAGGATTGACGTCTGTCATCCGTTAATAATCTTACACATGGGAAGCTAGTGTGAGCAGATGTGTTATCTGGTGTGACCAGACCAATGAGGCGACTGTAGTGGAAAAGTCCGGCTTCACCGCTTCCTGATGAGGTATGGTGACTAGTTGGACAAACGGAGGAACCTCACCCGCCTATAAAGACACAGGTCCCAAGAAGTAATTTCACGACACCTTGAAGCTGTTTGACTGCTTCCATCACTTTGCCTAGAACAAGTGCGGAAATGGCCCTTGTCCCCCCATTCACCCAAGAGAGCGCCCATGCGAAAGTTAAGAAGGGCCAAGATCTTTGGAATACACAGTAAGACCTCCGGACCTCTTCAAAATTCGCCCTCTGATACTGGTAGGGAGCCCAAATCAATCTCCGCTGCCTATACGCCTGACAGCACTTGGCGAAATCGCTCTACGTTCCTCTCTGGTACTGCGGCGATCGAGGAATTCCTGACCAAGAAGTGGGAGAAGGAGAAGAACTACCATTTGCGAAAAGAATTGTTCGCCTTTACGGACAACAAGATCGCAGTCCAGTTTTGGTACGAGTACCAGGATGCTCATGACGGCATGAAATGGAAGCGATGTTATGGCCTGGAGGATTGGACGTTTGCCGACGATGGCAGAATGCGAAAACGCCAGATGAGCGGAAACGATATTGAGATCGACCAGTCTGGTATGTACCGAAGAGCTCCGGTCGACTTTATATCGCAGAAGCTGACATTTAATCAGAACGGTGGTTCAAAGATGGCGTTGACGTGAACGAGGTGGAGATAAGCGAGGCTCATTGGTAAGGAGGTAAGTATCTCCTTGGTGGTCGAATTCGGGGTATCATTTGGACTTTCAACGGGGCGAGAAGCCGTGCCTAGCTATCTCCTGCCCTTATGCTGGCGGTGTATCATGTATAACAACTAGAATATACTTGGACTCTTCGTGTACGTTAGCTAGATTCTCAACACCATGCGGGCCACCCACCAGGGACTATGACCAGTTCATTCTTCTTTGTGCGGAGTCGGAGCAGTTTGACCTCGTCCTCTTTATCCAATCCATCCACGAGAGTTCCCGCGGCCGCTAGAAAAGACCACACCATACTGGCTACATCTTCCGCACTGTGTATACCACTGTCTTTGCGCCCGTTGGGGTAGTCTTCGGGACCCGTGTCGATCGAGGCGGGCAGTGTGCTGTTCGGGTTCGCGGTCGTGCTGTTGGAGATCAGGCCAGACGTGCGCACTATAGCTCCGTTGTCGCGGGCTAGTATGAGGGTGCTCTGGACGCCGGGCTTTTGGCTTAATCGCGTAAGAAGAGAGAGTGTCTCGTCTGGCTGCATTGCCATTAGCGGAACATTGCAATGTAGCTGTTAGCTCCTTTCATACCGCATTCTGAGCCATCGCGCTCGACGTGAGGGACAGCCTTTGAATTTGCAGAGGACTGGAAGCTCTACAATGCTGCGGCCGTTTGTCTGTGTTGTTGAGTGACTATTCCGCCCGCGAGGTTCGGCAAACGTGATGGCCGCGACTGCCAAGCGAACTAAGCTCCACACCGCCTAGCGCTCTATTTTTCATGTCAGGATTTCTCACTGGCGAAAGGGCGCCGTGGCATGGAACCACCACGGCTGTTGGATCTCCATGTGAAAGCCCAATACTGCAGCATTTATGCTATCAGGGATCGCAGACTGCTCGCACCCTCTCTGGAGAAAGTGCCTCGATAGCGA